TAGGGGGGAAAATCTGTGCCTCAAAGAACTTGTAATTGCCTGTTTTGTAGGGATGAAAAGAAAAGCTTGTTGCAGGTGTCCGCAAGGTCGGTCTCATTCATCCTTCCAGTGCAGCCATTTTAGGTCTGATACCAGCACAGCAACGTGGCAGGATATTGCTCATCACCATTTCCCAGAGTTTCTCACTAAAATCTGCTAGTTTGCGTTGTTGAAGTTCGCAAGAACACTTCCAAGAGCGCTTCCCAAGAAATCTACTTTTGCTGACAGGACTCTAGGGCCCCTGAAAACTATCTCCCCGCCCTAAATCCCAAGCAATTCACAGGTTCATTTATTCATGAACCTAATTGGTTTCTCCTCCCTAATATGACTGGAATTAAATACCTTACTTTGCTGTTACTATTTCGTCGCTTGAAGTAGTGTTGTAGGATTTCCTATGGTGTCTTGAGGTTGTTTGGGTTTTTTTGTTTTGTTTTTGTTTTTCCTTGCAAGTACACCTTTCACTCCCTTCCTGTACTGTTGCTTTGGCAAAGCAGTATGCATCCACCTCTTAAGTAAAGGAAACAGTACTTTATTTTTGCTTGCTGTATCCCTGGAATAAGGCTTGTGGCTTCTGTAGAGTGACCGATACTGCAAAAGCCGAGATAGAGGGGTGAAGCTGCCAGGTCCTTTGCTCTTTTTTTTCTCTCGCTGCTTTAGTGGAGTTCTGGGACGAGCGCTGCAGCGATTTGCTGTTTTTGCTGTACAGAGATAGGTTTGCCTTTGAAAGCCTCAGTTACAAATGAGGGGAGGGGGCAATGAAAGCCCACAGGGGTGGCTTGTGATATTTATAGCAACTAGTTGCCTAACGCGCTCTGGTGCCACGCATTTTGGGGAAAACTCTCCTCCCGCACCTTTGAAAGATGCCACCAAATACTTGAGGCTAGACATTCTTATTTAGCTACTCATTAAATTCTTCTTTTTGCCAAATAGTCATTTTCCAGCCTTGCTTCTAATGGCACTTGGATTTAATCCAGCGGCTCTTGTTTCTACCCGAGTCCTTGATGGCACGGCATGCCTTATGCTTTCTGCTGCTGATGATCTTTTTTTTTCATCCAACAAAATATCATGCAAGAATACTCCTTCCCAGTAAAGATAAAAATTTCTTCAGGGAAAGCACTCTTAAGATGTATATTCAAAGGTGTCTGCCTGATAGAGTATCCTTTTTCTTAAGTGGGTGAGAAATTAGACCTAAATGATCCAAATGTCTCTTTAAATGTCTGCTCTCCAAATGTCTGCTATGCCAATGGGGCTGTTGACAAGCAAAATAAGTAGTTGCAAAGTATGAGGAAGAGGCTGGGGAGAAGGTTAGAGGCAGTTGATATCTTCTACCCCTAATTAACTCTGTAGCAGTGGATTGCCAAGTGTAATTAAATACTGTGCTCTGCAGAGTCCCTTCCTACTTCCAACTGAAGCACTCATCCAGCTAGGCCTGCGTCCTTTAACACACCTTTCTTTTTTCCAAGTGAGAACACAGCTTCTACAATCATATTTGGATAGTGAATTTTTTGCGGCGTGTAAAGTGAGCATTCCCTTGCGAGTAATGAGTAATGTGCTCTGACTCAGTACTATTGCACAGCCTCTTCTTTTCATTCAAGAACTTTCCCTTAGAGTTTTCTTTTTTTCTTTTTTTCTCCCGCCCCGGCCCCAAAATACTGTTGACTTAACAGCGCCAGGCCAAAAACTCTGCAAGGTTCAGGTGCTCCTCCTCAAATGGCTGAGATCCTCCTGCCATGAAGGCTTGGGATGGGAACTGCTGATGCTACCCCTGCCTGGCAATTGGGGTCCATAGGACCAGGAAGGGTGCCTGCAGGTAGGGAAACCTTCAATGTATATTGAACCTTTTTATTTAAAAGTTGCTTTAGGTGAAGCATTTTGGCTCCTGAAGCTGTGTCGCTCTGGCTGCGCAATGCTTTGTTTTGAAAGAGCTTTAATAACTTGCCGAAGGTCTTGTCCCAAAGAAAACCTTCTACTGTTCTGTTTTAGCGCAGGCCTGATCTGCGAGTGGAGGAGCAGCAAGGTGTTTCTCCAGAGACATAAACCTGCAGCCTAAATTCTGAAAGCACCTGTCCAAAGGCTTGGTGCATGGTCCCAGGGGCCGTTTTTGCCTTGATGGGGGTTTTGCATGAGCATGGTACTAGTCTGATGTAGAGAGCAGCCTTCTAGATGTGTCAAAGCGTAGCATTTTCCTCATCTGTTTGTTCCACTGCAGTGGAACAATCACTTCAGCAGCATGAATAGCAGGTTCTTAAATATATTCGGGAGGGGAGGCAGAGAAAATTGCAATCTCCTGAAATGAGGAAAATGATTATAAAACATTTTGCCAACTGTCAGAGAAAGAACTTGTAGGAGCAGTCAGGGAAATTTGCTTGACGCTAGTGGAGTTCTGGTTCGATTGCGCTTTAGCATTTTTATTCATGTTGTTTTAAGCAGTTTGAATTTTTGTTTGGTAGGGCTTTAGGCTAATTACTAAATGCTCTGAAATATTTCTGCTGCTGGAATATGAATGCACTTCTCTGGAGGAGCAGGGCGATTGTAAGGTACAAAACATAAGATGATGCTTCAAGGCGCTCTGGTCACCCTTTGTAGTGATGGGTGAAAGCAAAATGGGGCTTCTGGATCTCTCCCGGCAAGTTAATTGAATTGCACTTAATTTTTGATGAGACAATTGCTGAAATTCCTTGGTTGTGGTTTTTTTTGAGTGCTAGCATTGCTCAGATATTAATTTTAGCCTGTGTACAAACTGAAACCTGGTTCAGTGCGAGTAGAAAACACGTGCAGAGCCAGGCTGAATGAGAGAGAGCGCGTCTAAACACGACTAACTAAACACAAAAGGGAAAATAAAATGAAAACTGTGATCCTACAAGGGGAGGGTGAATGCTCCGTTCTGCTTTTCAGATAACTAGCAAAAATAGTGGCATAGGATTTTCTTCAGTGGATCTGCTGAATAATTGGTGGTGTTAACTGTCTGGGATACTTTAGCTATCTCTTATTGGCTGCCTTGGGATTTTTAGCCTTTTGTCTTTAAAATTTTTGAGCAGGGTTTTTGCTGTGGGTGTGCAAGGCACATCTGTACAGTCTGGGGATAGTTATTCCCGGCCTGCTGTTCCTGTGCCACATTAACTAAATCTGCATACGTGGAAGGTCAGGCTTGAAGGGTTATTTTGATGGAGGTTTGCCTTTTGGGAATTGTGAGTTTATTACTAATTTTGGGCACATTTTCCCTAGGAAAAATAACAGCATGGGTGTTAAAACTTGGAAGATGGTTATTTAAGCTCAAACACTTAAACCCAAGAATTTAACAAAGGAGGCACATTCAAATATTTATTATGTTATAAATTGGTCTGGTACAGCAAGCTCTAATTAAATCCTGGATGGTCTGAAGTCATCTTTTTTTTTTCTTTTTCTCTTTTTTTTTTTTAGGAATGCAGAGCAATTTCATTGTTTTCCTGGTGAGCGCACACCATACTGATGCCCTTCCAGGTTCTACTTCATTTCAACCCACTTCCTGTAGTTTTCCACTGAGAATTTCAAGATTGCATAGACGGCTTTTAATGAGGGGTTGAAAACAAAATGACTGTGAGGGACGTGCCTAGTAGCAAGCTGCGTTCAGGAGCCAACTCAGGGATTGGTTTTACTCTGGCACGTGGTGCAGCATCACACAGGGAGTCAAGTTGGAGGGAGCCTGGGGTCAGCTCATCTGTGTGCGTGTTGGCTGATGCATGTAGAAGAAATGGGGTGTGAGAGCAGGATGGGCAAAAGCCATCTCTGAGGAAGGGTTTTAGGAAGCCTTTTGTGCCCCAAACCCCCAAGGTTAGTTTCCTTGCCTTCTTCCATCAGGGAGCCTTGCACAGCTAAGCCATTAAATCCACCGTTAGACATGAGCATGTACCCGTTGGCCTGCTGCGAGTGTGGGAAGACCAGAAAAAGCCCAGTGCAACTTCTCCATCCCCAGATGTGCGCGAGAATGTGCTATAAGAAGGAAGAGGACAGGAGAGTACAGGAGCTCGTTCCCTCTGAGAGGTTTTCTTGGTACTCTTACCTCTAAAATTCACCCTAGAGATGTTTTTCTAAACCTTGATCTATTCTGATCATTCTCATAGCTTCCCCATCTTCTCTCAGATCCTATAGAAAGGTCTGTGTGCCTGTGATTAGTTCTATTAGCTCCCGAGTGTCCTCCAGGGAACTGAAATGGTGGTCTGATAATTGGACTATTTATAGGTAGAAATTTAAAAAAAAAAAAAAAAAAACACTCACTAGTGGGGCATTCATTCTTGCATTCCTCAGTTGACTTCCTGCAGCAGGGTTTGTACCTTATTTAAATGGTAAATAAAAGCTGTCAGGAAATGTACGTTGGCACAATCCTGGCTTCTAAACCTTAATAACACAACAGACTTGTTGTGTGAACCTGTCACATCAAGGCTTATGTTCAGTGTAGTCACCCACAGGTGTCCTGTTGTACCTGATCTGAATGATCTAACGTCCAGTTTTTTTTTTTTAAGACAAATTCCCCCCCCCCCCCCCAAACTTTTGAAGTTTGGAAGCTTGCATGTTGTTTGCTGTGTTCGTCCAAGTAATGTGCGGTTTGCTGACAGCAGCGGCCCTTATGTCAAAGCATCTGGGTTCCAGCCTTTCTTTGTCATAACATTGACGGTAAGAAGGAGCCCTGACATGGGAAGATTTTGAGAGCATCTGTTAGCGTGATAACTGCAAGTTTAATTTTGACTTGGCTTATACCAAAGATTGACAGCCCCTAGGATTTTTCTGAAGCTGTTGCATCAGCAAACCTGACAAAAATGGAGAGTAATTCTGGCTAAAGTAATTTTTCTGAACACAAATTAATTGTCATGAAAAGCTTTTTCTGCGCTGTGTCTCTGCAGCATGCTATTCCCGTGGCTTCGTACCGTCTTGTTTTGAGTATATGTAAGGATGGGTAAACCCTGGGTTTAGCTAGGGAATATTGGAGAATTTATGTCGTTGGAAGTTTCTAACAGAGGTGATCAGGCTTTGAGTGAGATGGTTTGTCCTATTTTATGGCAGCAGCTTGATCCTTCCTTATAACTTGGTGCTTGCTTAGGAGAAGATGAAAAGGGAATCTGTCACTTTGGTTTTTAAAGCCCCTGTATCGTTCTCCTGGGGGAGCGCCAGTTGTTATACTGGTTTGAGCCATGGGTATGTGTGCAATTACAGAGCCCTTGCATCAGAACTGGCGCCTTTGCCATCATTGGGCGGCTGCGGAAGGCAAAATTATCACAGCTCTCCCCAAAACAAGTTATTCTGCTAGCAAATAGGGTCTGGGGCTTTATTTCCCAGTGCCTGGGACAGGCTTAATGACTGCAGCCTGTAACCTGTGCCAGGTGGCCAAACTGGATGCAGCTACTTATTGAGAAGAAAAATATTTCACGGTGCATTTCTGTCGTCGGTATGTTACCTTACACTTAAGACACTCTAAACAGCTGGAGGTACAATTTTCCAGGCTTTCATAAGTAGTAAGTGCTGCAGGTTTGTTTTTTTTTTCCCCCTTGCCTACAGCAAATAAGCAACTGAGTGCATGTTTAAAAATGAAGTGAAACAGAGCCTGGTAGAGAGGTGGTGGGTTTTTTTTCCTTTGCTTTGCTGTTCTTTTCTCTTCCCCAGTGCACGCTTTGAGAAGTTGCAACTGCTTGGAGTAAAGCAGAGGCACTGGCAAAACTGGTTTCGCAGGGGAGGAGGGGCTACAAAGCTGTCACTTGGTTCCTCTTTCTCCTTGGGTTTGCTTTCGATCTGGTGGGGAGCCCTCTCCCCCTTGCCCTTGGGGCTGGCAGCCCTTCAGCCAGGACGGACCAGATGGTCTCCTCGTTCAGGAGCTCATCACTGGAAAACTGCAGCTAGCTACAAGGGGTGTTTGTCCCCCACCAGGAGCCACCAGTACTGCAGCTTGAATGCCTTCTCATGCTTGGTGAGGCTGCAAAGACAGGGAGGAGGGGGGGTGGAGAGACTGTAATTTCTGAAGTATTTTTTTGCTGTCTCTGTATTGTCTGTAGGTTTGAGAGATGAAGAAGCGGCCTGGGAAAATACTGTGCAGAGAACAGCGTGACGTGTTTGCTTTTTTGCTTGGGTGATGTTGGTGGGTTTGAGGGAGGAAAAGCGTTGAAACTCTATTTCTACATATCTGGGACCTCTGTCCCGAGTTTGTCACTAAGCTCTGTGCAGCAAGGTTCAAAAGCTTTGCAAAATCTGAGAGCTTGACCTGGAGTTTACTGGGGTAGAGCTTGACATGGACTTTTCATGCTTGCAGCACAGCTTGCAACTGCATTTCTGGAGCTATTAAGTTTCTGTGACCTTAATGTATTGTATTTCTTCCCCCCGGCCATCTCTTCCCATGAAGCTGTGAAGTGGAATGCCATGGCCAGTTCCTCGGACAGTGAAGATGACAGTTTCATGGCCGTGGATCCAGAAGAAGCTGTGGTCGAAGGGACGATGGAGCAAGATGATGAGCCTCATGCTGAGCTGGAGGTCGAGGAGACCAGGCATAACAGATCAATGCTGGAGCTCCCAGAAGAGGTTTTGGAATATATCCTGTCCTTCCTTTCGCCGTATCAGGAGCACAAAACTGCCGCCCTTGTCTGCAAGCAGTGGTATCGACTAATAAAAGGTACTAACAGCTGATATGGGAGTGCATTTTCCTTTTTCAGTTGTGGGAACAGATTGTTATTCCAGCCATTCTTTGCTTTGCTTTAGACTCCCCTGTATGTGGAGGCTTTCTTTTTTTCCTTTAACTCAGAAAGTTGACTTCCACAAAATTAATACTGGGGAAAAAATAGCTCAAACTATTGGTTTACTTGCCTTGTAGAAGGCATTGCGAACAACTGAAATGCTGCAGAATCAAGTCCCTCAGCCAAGGGGGCTTGTTCCTAGTTGGCAGACTGGATGCACTCTTTGGAAGTGTGAAATAGTGAAAATCCAAAACCCTACGATAAGTCTACCCACTGACTGCTACTCTTGAACGCTCCCTGTATACAGATAATGTGCAGTGCTATTTACCTTGTATTCAGGGTTCCTCTGCAGCGCGCACGAGAATCCTCATTCCCAGTGTTCCATGTCTAATGTGGCTGTAACTGTGCTTTGTTTTGATTTTACTCACTAATTACACACCCAAAGCCTTAGATTTTTGGCTGGAAACAAAACTGTCTGGTTCTTACAGCTCTTGCTTAAGAAAGTGGTGAAGTATAAACTGCACCCACATTAATGTAGATCTACATATGTGAACTTCCTGAAAGAATAGCCCTGAGATACAGATACTTCAGCTTGCCTCAGTGCAGTATTAATTCTGAAGCCTTATGGGGATATTTTAGCGTTAGTTATATGTGATATGGCAAATAGCTTTGCTTGTATACTTGTCCAAACTTTACCTACCTCTCTGCTCTTGGTATTTTCTGAATATGCTGGGTGATTTCAGTTTACTTGTCAGAGGAATGGCACTGTTGGGGACAAACGTTTTTACAGTTAGAGAAGAGACCACGCATCTGTAGGAAATGAGGCACACTCCTGCACTGGGATAACTTGTTTCATCTAGAATAAATGCAAAGTAGGTGTCGAGTGAGAAATGCCTCCATTTCTGCCCTTGGCATCGCATACACCCAGGTAGTTGTGTAGGATGATCTCTAATTTGTGGAGGTTTATTTGCACGTGTGAAGCATTGCTCTTGGATCCCAGGGATTCTCTGCCTTGCCTAGAGTTTAACAGGTTGGAGGCAGAATAAAACGCATCTGCCTCAGAAATAAGCATTGCGAAATGACTTTCTGCCTAAATTCGGGTCAGCTAACATGTTGCTCTGTTACTGCCAGTGCAGCAGTTTGCACCCTGTTGAAACATTTCGAGTGTCCATGGGCTTTGACTGCTGCTCATGTACGCTTTTGCCCGCTCATGTATTCCTGAAGCGATGCTTAGAGAGAGAGGACGCAGCTGGAACGAACAAGCATATGATTCACCCTGCAAGAGACTGTGGGAAACATCCTTTAAGTGTAGGGGAGGGATGAGCAACCCAAGGTGCAACGTGACATTGCAATGACTAGTTCATCTCGCAAGTCTAGGGAGCGTGAGTGGTGAGTGTTGCTGGGCAGCAGTGGCTACAGCAAAAAGTGCAATTTCTAACCTGTGCTCTGTGAATCAGAGAGGTCACTTGAGGTAAATGCTTGATTTGTTTTCTACTGGTTAATTTTTCCTGTTTGTCAGGATACATCTGCTTTGAAATCCTATAGTTGAGATTGTGTTTCCCTTGTGTCTCTTAGGGACCAGCTGCTTGGGGGGATCCAGGGCTTCATTTTTTAACGCTTCCGGCAATATGTCCCAGAGCGTGATTTCTTGTTGAGGGTGTTCCTGGTACGAGGCTTTCAGTAGGAGAGTCATTAGGCAAATATCTTGGTGGGTTCTGGCATCTTCGGTGCAATTCCTGCCATGGCACAGGTCACCAGCAAGGAGCTGTGGAGCGAGCCAGCTTCCTTCATCCTCTGTGGCAGGCTGAGGCTTAAGAAGCGGAGGGGCTGGACGCAGGTATCGATCGCCCTAAAATGCTAGCACCTAAGTGCTGGAGAAGAACGGTATTTAGCTAAACTAGAATCTGCTCTTTGGGGGTGCACTTTCTTGAAACTGATTTTTTTTTTTTTTCTCCTGTGAATGTGTGAAGGGCCAAATTCTCCTCTCAAGTACCAGGCTTGAGCATCTTGATGTGACAAGGGGTTTGTGGTTGCATGCTAGCACAGGTGCGTTAGGCCCCAGAGCATCTGCTGAGGAGCAAGTGCAGCCTTAAATCTTCAGCAGACAGTTTTCTTCCTCCAGGGAGCAGTATTGCGCCCCCCGCCCCCCAAGCACACACACAGACATACATACTCCACACAGTTAATTGCAGCTCTCGTACTGCAGCGCTCCACAGGGAAGCTATAACTACCTCTGGTTTAGCGAGGCCGGGTCTGCTCCTTTGTGGGGTTAAGAATGAGTGCTCTGAGCTAAGACACGGCCTGACGTTTATCAGCCAGGTCTCCTCTCATGTTTATTTTAGAATCCTGCCCAGTAGCTGCAAGCATGCTCTTAAAAATTCATTATTGCATGTTACATATCCTCCCAGGTCCATTAAAGGAAGGGCAGATGCCTGGCAGAATGGAAGGGCTGGCAGAAAGGAGTGCTTGCGCACAGCATTAACATGGGTGTAATTAGGATGCAGCAGGCTTGCGGTGTAGCAGGGAGAGCTGAAAACCAGGTCTGCTGAGGCATGTCCATATTGCCCTTATTTATAGTACCTTCAAGCGTGCTTGTCACTAAAAGAGTTGTACTGCCAGTGCCGACAGCCCGCTCTCACCTTGACTTCCCATTGTCTGGCTCTGGCTGGCAGATGCTGTGGCGTTGCAGGTTGCACGCTTGGGTGCTGTGATGCCCAGTGTCTGTCATAACCCTTGAATCCTTTATTAGCCTGCGCCAGCTGTGCTGCTTCTCCCTAGACACCTTCCTTCATAGTAGGTGAGGTTTTTGGCTTGCTGATTTTGGATTTCATGGCCTCCAGCTGTTGCGCTTTGACTTGTTCCTCTTGCTGTTTGTGTTGGAGCATCTCAGTCCGCAGAGGAGCTGTGTTTTGGCAGCTATTTTGGTCAGTAGGGAAGAACCTGCGTGTACAGGTTTGCACATGCTTACGTTCACCTGCCCAGAGGTGACAGATGCTGGAGGTAGTGTAGTAAATACGTTCTGTAAACGTCACTGATATCTGCATGTGAAAAGTCTCCGTTCTTTATTCTCTTGACTCCTCTATGAATTTCTACCAGGGTATTTATACTCTGTCTGAATACAAGGCTTCTTTCCACAATGGCGATCCTGCTGCTGCTCTCTATCTGTTAACTTATGATAATTTGTCATGATCATTTACTTTCAGTTCTCCAAGCTCGTGGCTTCCTACAAAGGCTATCAGGTAGGGTATGCGCGCAGAATTGTACGGCAACAGGCACTTTAGCAAGGACAGCGCCTCCTTTTGTATCAGTGTATTATGCATTGCTTTTGGATGTGCTTGTGCAACTGTGCTTGTGCAACTTAACATGGCCCAAATTCTGCTGACGTCTTGTCTTTCTTCAGGTGTGGCCCATCAGTGTTATCACGGCTTTATCAAAGCAGTGCAAGAAGGAAATATTCAATGGGAGAGTCGCACTTACCCCTATCCTGGAACCCCCATCACGCAACGCTTCTCGCACAGTAAGTAGCTGCTCAGAAAAGCTCGACTGGCCCCTGTTCGGCTCCAATTTACAAAGGGAAGCTATAAGGAGGCGTTTGTATTGGGTCGCTGGGGATACAGCAGCAGCGCACGTGCCTGTCGCTGCAGCAGAGTTCGAACTGGTTCAGGCGCAATAGGCAGCTCTGCCAACGCAAGCACTTTGCACGAGAATAGGGATTCAATAGCTGTTTGTCATTGTTATTGGCTCTTTGCTCCTAGGCTATTAAGAGGAAATGTTAACGCAGGGTGGTGTTTTGTTGTCTCCCTGCCCCCAATGTGCCTTGTGCTCCTTTAGTCATTTGGCTGTTTTGCAGATTTCACATGCAAACTTCTTTAACCAGTTCCCCTTCTAATCTGAGCATTCCGTGTCCCCTTCAACAGAGACCTCACTCGCTAGTGACTTGAATCCAGTGGCTGTTACAGCAAATGAGTCTGCATACCCACTGACACGTGGGGACGATACCTGGGGATGATACCGGCTGCTTTCTACAGCAGATCATCATTTACATTTTAGGGTAGTGTAGTCTGGAGGAGGCTGTATGTGACTTGCTTCGTTAAAAGCACCCAGGGCTTTTTTACACAAGAAGTATTGAGGCAAGCATGTTTGCTTTGGGTATGATTTGCTGATAGATGTCAGCAAGTCAGTTGACAACCCTGCTTAATTTATGGGTGTGGGGGTTTTTTTTTTTTCCTTTCCTTTTCTTTTCTCCCTGCTTCCAGGTTTCTGGAACAGAATGGAAATAAGTTCCCATTAAGGGAGAGCTGCTTAAATAAAACTTATTTGTACTGCAGTAGCGTCTAGCTGCCTCGGAGTGCTGTGTCAGGCAACCTACTGAAATATGACAAATATTTAGTCCTTGTGTAAGCTGGGTGTAAGCTGGGTGTAAGCTCTCTGGAAGATGGTTGTTCTGCAGAGCAGAGTTTCATTTTTATAAAGGTAAATAAGCATGATGTAAGTGGTGCGATTCCAAGAGCAAGAAGTCATAAAATTTTCATATTCTCAAGTAATAATTTATGAAGCAACCAATGCACAGAATGCGCAGCCTCTTGCCAAGGCAAGTCTAGGAGACACTGCAGGGGGATTATGGTGAAGTCATTGTGCTCTTCAAAGATTTTTGTCCTGTTTAAAAAAAATAAAAATAAAAAAGGCACCACAGTTCATAGATTGTTTTTAAGCGGCAATGCTAATAAAGTGCTTATTGCAGATGACTGCAGTGACTTGCAGATTTGCATGTGTTTCCCTCTATTTGCTGGCAGTATCAACTGTCCTAATCAGGCTGTATCTTAGGGTAATCTCATCTGCACTGTTTCTGCCCTAGTGCCTTGGAGAGGGCTTTTTGTGCCTTGGTGATGTGCTTGATGATTGTGTACCGTGGAGCAGCAGTTGCTTCCACGTGAACCTTTAAGGTTAGCTATGAATTACCTGAAGAAGCCCAAAGTATTATATCAAGGACTTGCTGCATGCTCTTTGCTTGGTTCTGTTGCCCAGCGGGGGATTCCTCTGAGTATGCTGCTGTTGCACCTGACCCAGAATGAGTCTTTCTCAGGCCACTGGTCTTGGAGCATGTAATCTTTCTTAGCCTAGCTATTTGACAGTGTCCTGTGCCCTGGTCATCAGCCCTTGGCCTCCGCAGAAGTCCTGTTGAGGTAGTTTATGTGCAGAAAGCTAATTTGGGTTAACTGGTTTGCCGACTAAATTTGTACGCTGTTCTCCAGATCTGCGGGATCTGCTTTCCATTTAACCGAGTAATGTATATTTGTGGGTGGATTCCAGTATTAGGGCCTGGAGGAAGGTTTGATCAAATCTCAGCGAGGATGAGATTCCTTTCTGACAGCGAGGATAAAACAGAAGCAACAAATCGTTAATCGCCCAGCTTACCTAAGTGTCCAGGCAATCTCCAAATGTACTATGATCTAAAATATTAAGGTTTGATGAGCCAAGCAGAAGTAAAAACAGGAGACTTAGGAAGCGGGGAGTGAGGAAGGACTTGCAAAGCCTTTTTTGTTGGGGAGTGACAGGGTGGCTTGTCTGGATTCATGGGAAGGCGTCATCTACCGGGCATGAGTCATTTGAAGTCAATAGGCACCGATAGCTGGCATCAAAGAGTTGGTGAGGGCTCTCTCTTTTCCAGGACTAATTAGAAATATCCCGGAAGTGCTAATATTGAGCCAATATTTAAAAGGACAAGGTAGAGAATTTTAAATAGGTATAGGTTGCTCTGTCTTCCATTAATTATTCCTTTTGAGTGAATTTTTCTATTACTTCCCTGAGAATTTATGTCAGTCACCAGTTTTATGAAAAAAGGATTTGTCAAGCTCTGATTATATGACAAGTTTGGCTGATGATAAACTTTATAAATGGACTGTAGTTTTTCTAAAGGGTTTGACTTAAGCTGCATAGCATTACACAATGTCAGGAACACTTTTTTTTTTTAAAAGTTTGATCATACAGGCTTACTAGAAGGCACGCTTCTTGCATAGCTTTTTTGAGCTGGAGATAGGGTAGCTGTCTGAAGGTGTAATATTTGTGCTAGTCATCTAATTGTCCTTTCTAGCCTTAATGTATGAACCTACAAAAATTATAGTAGTGCAATGACTCATGTAGTTAAATAGCTGACTGCAGTCAGAAAGCGATGTCAGAAGGTGCGGAAGGAATGCAAGAAGGGAAAAGCAGCAGAGGAGCGTCAAGTGGCGTGCCAGGAAATATTGATCCTTTGATGGACGAGTTGGTACTGCAGTGACTAATTTTAAAGACTGATTTCCCATACAGTTTGGGGAGCATATTACCAGCATGATGACTAACTAAAATAACTTCATGGATTGAGCTAAGGGGTGTGCTTAGTCTGTGGGACAAGGGAAAGGTAAAACTGAAAAGCTTTGTCTTAACGAATGGGCGACTTTCCTACCAGAGCAAAGGGAGCAAGCAGCTATGACTTTTTTTATTATATGACTTTGCTAAAGATATCACTGCCTTCTGGCAGTGTGAAAGGAGCAGGAGAATAGCGTTTTAGAGAAGGGGATAGATATGGGATGATTTTCTTTTTTCCCTTTTTTTTTTTTTTTTCCCCCTCCTCTCCTCTCCCTGAAGATGGGGAGGCAGTTGCAGAACTGAGGTCTGGAGCATTTTTATCGTGTTGCAACTTGCAGCATAGTTGGTGTAAACATCTGTGTCGGCCAGCGGCACCAGGCTCTTTCATCTGCAGCTCTTCTCTGTGGCACTGCCATCGCCTCTTGCCTCTCTAGCTAAGCAAGGTTGGGCATGGAGAGGTTACCTCCGAAAAGTCGAGGGGAGTGATGCCATAATTCGATACGCAACCCTCCCCATATGATGCCGAGCCACTGCTACAGCTTGGCAGGGCACTTTGGGGAATACTGCTTTGCACAAGGAGCAGGAAAAATAATTCTGAATTGGAGAGGGGGAGTAATAACAAGTCTGGGGTCCTTTTCAGAGGAGACGGATAGCTTTTACAACCGATATCTTCACTAAACCTCAGCTCTGGTAACTGCACTTACTGTGTTTCCTGTCCTTAGCTGAAGTGTGCTTCCAAACAGGGCATATATTTCTCTACAGTTATAGCTCTTTGAAGTCAGGACAAGTGATCTCCCCAGATAACAGGACCAATTGGAGTAGTGTTCTGGGATAGTTTAAGAAAAAAGCCTTTTTATATAAAGGCTTATCAGTGTTTAGCAGCAAAGCTGCAGTGATGTTTGCAGTTGAGGGTTACATAGAAATGGGAGTTCAACAGACTGCTGACTCGCCCTTCTCTCTTGGATGGGGAATATGACCTTTGAATTTGACTCCTGTATGTATAGGTTACTTTATTTGATGTACTTTGATTACTAAAGTTTAAAAAGTCAGTGCCCTTTAATTACTATCAAGGGCATGCGTTCTGCATTCAGTTTTCCCTTCCCAATTGGAGTCTATTGATCTCTAGTCTCATTATCTCATACTCTGGATGAAAATCTCTGTTGCTTTGTTCATCCCTGTTGTGCAGCACAGGAGAAAAACAAACGTATTCAAAATAAGTTGGCTTTGCAGTCTGGGTATCAGTGTTTTCAAACATTAGAAAGAAATATTCATTCTCTTCATCTTCAGTTGCAAAAATAGATCATCTCTGGCATAGTGAAACTGTGACAACTTAACTTTACTGGGGCTTTAAAAAGACAAGATCTATCCAGTGGCTTTTGATTTCTTGTTTTTTCACCCAATGAAAAGCTGGAAGCACCACTGGACCCTCTTTCCCCCCCCCCTCCCCCCCCGAGTTATCCTACACATTCGAAAGGCTAGTATCAGACTGGAGTTTTCAGCCGTACTCTCTTTTTTTCTGTTAGCCCAACTAATCCGTCTCACTTGGCTTCAGAAGTTTTAAATGGCTTGTGAAGAAGAAGCAGGAAAGCACAGTTCAAGTTATTTTGATCTGGGATTAAAATACATGCTGTACGGACGTCGTGGTGCCTGGCTGGCTGGCCTGTTTTTAAATCCAAATAGAGGAGAAGAATGCTGCCACATCCCTTGCGAAATAATAAATTAGCTGGGCTGTGCTGGTGTGTGAAAGCAGCAGTTGCCAAAGGTTTGGCCTAGGGAGGAGGCAGCTTTCAGTCACTCTTAACCTGTCATGATTAGGTAGCAATTAGATTTCTAGGGAAACTGTGAACCATCGAGAAATCATAAATAGAAAACCCACAAAAGCCTTATTGCATTGCACCAGATTTCATTTGCATCCGTGGGGTGCTGGGCATTGGCTGCCACCCTTGACTTCCTGGCTAGAGACAGCATTTTGGCATACAGGGAGTCACCATGTAAAAAAGGTACATGGTCTCATCTTCCAGAGCGGATGGATACTATAAAATACTCTTATTCCTCATAGATAGCGGTCCTGCTCCCCAGAAGATGTGCTAGGGGATCGCGCAAGCTCTCCTTGTCTGCTCCAGTGCAAAGTCAAGCACTTGGCTTAGCTTATATCCTGTTCCAGGTAAATCCTGAACCTGCACAGTTACTAACCCAGTGTTTATGTTGCCAGCATGTCTTCTACCTGGAAGACAGCTCAGAAGTTCTGTCAGATAGGTGTATGTTGTTCTAATGTTCGGTAAGATGTCATTTAAGGTGACAAATGTGCAGTTGCACATTCGGACCTGGAGATTTGCGTGCATGAGAGGTGGGTGGTCTCAGGCCATGAAAACCGACTCAGGACGTTGCCCTCATCCGTTCTGCGTCTGCAGATCCCCCGATCCCACTGTGTGGTCAGCAAAGTGCCCCGGACTTGTCAGTGAAAGCCAAGGGCACGAGGCCGCTGGCTTTTCTGCGGGCTTTCAATAGGGGCAGCAGGTGATCTGCATGACAAGCCCCAGGTCAGATTGTGGGGCGCAGCGCAAAGGCCACCGGGCTCCTCCGTGGCCCCTGCTGAGCCGCGGTATTGTGTGCAAGCGCTTGAATGTACCGTTTTATTGCGTGCAATTCATTCGGACCTACTGGCTCTCCGTGGTGAGATGAATATCACCAGCGTTATGTATGGGTGGCCTGTGTTAAAGAGCTCTTTTCGCCCTGGAAATACATACTTCCAGACTGCAAAATTAGGGCTGCAGCATTTGATTGTTGGAAACTCAGGGCGTATTTGTGCTGATCTAGAATAAATCTGTAAGCAGGGACTTCTAGCAGTGATATGCTCTGAAACGTTTTCTCTTGCTACCAAAAGCAGGCTGCCAGACTGTTTCTTTCACTCCAGATACTCCATTTTTAATCTTTTCTTATTGCTGTTTCTTAAAAGAAGCAACAAAAAAAGCCTTTGTGTTAGCACAAGCTCCTAGTCCCCTGTCCTGTCCTGTCAGGTCAACTAATCTGAATCTATTTTAATTTTTTAACTTGGGGAGTTGGCAAGCTGCTAAGTATAACTGGTGATGTAGAAGGACAAGGAATGGTGCAGCTTGTCCAGGCGCTATGTCCCCACAGTGCGTGTACCTTGACTCTTATTTTGTTGGGGAATAAAAGCTGGCTTTAGCTCAAAGCTGCTGTACTTGTGTGCTAATATTGTCCAACATGCTGCTCCAGTGAACTTCTGGCAGCCTTGAATTTCCTTCTTGCTCTTCAGCCTCCTTCTGAAATCCTCCTTTGCAGCGAGACTCCTGTCCTGCCCACGCTGTTGATATTGCGACTTCCCTTGTCGCGCTGGTTATTTATGATGATACTTGGGCCTGAACCTGGAGATCCGCTATGGAGAGTTTTCTGCATAAGAAGAATTACTTCTCGCGTCCGTGTCAGCCAAAGAGCCATATGCTGGCCTGCACCATGGGCTGCCTGGCTGAACTTTGACATTCGCTTTTGGTTTTCCACTGTTGGGCAATATATCGCTTGTCATCGCAAGGGCAATTAGTCCTGCTCCTTCCAAGCCCCAGCTGATACCCTTTAGCTTTCCCAGAGCATAAAACATTGTGGTTTTCGTATTGCACATGGGTGTATGGAAATGACTTGCCATGTTTTCCCCCTGTTAGGCTTCATAATGCATGCTCCAGGAAGCTCTGAGGAGAGGTTTCCTTTAACCTTCTCCCTGTACTGTAGAAGCATCGTTCATGTTTGTAGGGTTAATGCTAGATTTTTGTGACTTTGAAGGTGCTTGTTTATCAAGTTGGGCTTTAGAGAGAGAAGCCTCAGTTGTGAACGTGGTGCCTCCACGTTTTGGGGCTATTTGTGTGCGTGTTGCCAAATTCCTAGTGCTTGGAGACTATTAAATATGTGCTGGGAGATGCAGCAACTAACAGAGCAATACCCTTGAGATAAAGATCGGGGCATGGAAAAACCAACTTGTCCTTTCTGCCAGCCACAGCGTATGCTCCTTTGCCAAAGCTCTGGGAGAAGAATCTTACAGAAAACCAGAGAATTGAGATGTTCAGGCTATGTCGGGTCAAAGGAGGATTGCATTTCTAAAAGCAGAATCCAGTCGAGGAATGTGCCTGTTGGCTGTCTCTCTTACTTTCAGGTCAGAGGATTGAAAGGTTATAGGGCCTGTGCCAAAATTGCCCATGGAGGGCTCGTTTCATGCACATGCTGTATGTATGAATATCAGTG